TCGGAAGGGCCGTGGTGGTTCAAGGGCTCCCTGTTCAGTGAGGACTTGGCACAGACCAGCAGGCCCCCATACAGATTTTTCTGCGCTCTGGCTCCGCTGCAGTAAGTGTGTCTAAAGCACTGAAGTTCTAGGTAAGGTGGGGCAGCTCTATTGCACAAACAGACCCACTGCAGATAAAAGAGATTCCTGAGTAAGAGGAAGTTAGGCCACAGCAAACAGCATTTTAGTCTCTGCTCAAGCATAATAAAGTAAATAACCACACTGGAAAATATTCTGTTCTGGGCTTTTTGCCATACAGGAAGGGCGTTGAATGTGTCAGTGTCCACAATCAATATCAACAGGAAAAAAGATCTCAAAAGGTACAGTTTGGTCCTCAACACCTTGCTTTACCATCTGCAAGGCAGAAGCATGAATTTCCCTCTCCCTCCCACTCATTCTAAAGTGTCCATACATACTACACCTGAGCTATAGTTTTGAAGTCTGTTTCACCAAGTGTTTTTGCCTCTTTGATCGGAATGGAGTTACTTTAGAGTCCAAATACTTAGTAGTCTTTGAACGAACAAGAAAAATATTTCTTGTTTAGAAAAGAGGATATTAACAAATGCTTTTCTTATTACATGTACCATGCATAGGTCCAATACAGATACTGTGGTCATAAATGTGTTTTCGGTTTAAGCATTCACTATTGCATCAAAACTGCCCCAAACTCACTTTGGGATGGCAGTTGCAGTGGTAAGATTCCTGGCAGATGATTGCTATGAGTTACACTGCTGTAATTCATTGCAATGCTGCTCATCATCTGAATATGATTACAAGCATGTTCTCTGCCTGTTAACTGCAAAATAAAACAGACTAACTTAAAATCTTCACAAGTGTATTTTAAGCAAACAAGTCCTTTTTGACCTATGCAATAGGTTAAGATTGCACAAGGCTGATTGCTGTCCCAGGCTCAAGATTACAAGCAATTGACTGTGACTATTTGTATCTCGGTAGCCTCCAGCATTAACATCCTTCATACTGAAGGATCTGCTTTAATATCCCTGAGACACAATTAAGGTTGCTATTGCCATCTTAAGGATCCCTATTCAGATGTTGCAATCTATATATTAAAAAAGACAGCAGATCATTATTTATAGATATGATGGTGGGAAGCTAACTTTTATCTCTTCCTTTTTTATATTAAAACAAACAAAGCAACAACAACAAACACCTTGGTTAGGAATTTTCTTTGTAAAACTGATATTTTCCCGTAAAATAACAGCCCAAATCAAGCTGAACTTGATTTCAGATTTTTTTCTTCTATTGAAACTATAACTAAGATATATGTTCATAAATATACATCCATAAATATGCTGTAGATTTAACATACAGTATTATTTTGATGGTATATTCTACAGCTAAAACGGAACTCAAAGTTTGAACAATTCTTTAACAAAACACAAGTAACATCTCATACCAAGTCTTTACCTGTGTATTTCTGTAGCACCATATGGAACACAGGGACTGGACAAAAACTATTTGTTCTCAGAGCTGCCCAAGTTTTACCCCAGCTTTTACAGCCTAAACCTGCATTTCAAGTCTGATTTACAGCAACAGCTCAACGCACACGTTACAATGGATACAGATTATCATAACGATGCTTCTGTTTATTGTCACTAAATGTATCCTTTATGTTTGAATTCTGCCCTGTTTCTTGTCTAAGCCAGTACTCGAGTTAAGTGCAAAACACACCACGTTAATGGCAGGAAGCACATTTTGGAAGCAGTGCCATTGCCCCGTGGCGATGCGGGAAAGGCCCCGACGAGGGAGCGCCTTGCGTCTCGCGCCTCGCGCGCGGCCCTACCTGCTCCTTCACAGAGGCCAGGATGGTGGTGGCGGTCGCCTCCGCGTCCGCGCCGGGGCCGGCGGCAGCTCCCTGCGCCGGCGGCAGCAGCCCGTCCTCCACCGCGGGGGTCTGCTCCGGGGCTGGCATTTTGCCTGCAACAAACAACGTTTTCAAACAGGTTATGTTTTGCACTGGTGAGGCTTCAAGATTCCAGATTATTTCTCCTATCTTTGTTGTGCATATTTTTCAAACTTAACCAAGATGGCAGAGAAATTCGTTATCATCAATATCAACGTATGTTGCTATTGTTGTGCTTGACTCTCCCATATTTAAATTAGGATCAGGTATGGAACTTGAAGGCTAGGCAAAGCAACCAGGCAGAATAACGTTTTAAAATTATCACAAAAATGCCATCTTGCAGGGGACATTAAAGGCAGCAAAATCCACGATGTGTGGAGAACACTACACGTTTGGATATTACACTTCTAATGATGCTGCCCTTCCTGATGCTTATCGTGCACACTTTCCAGCGGCAAGGCCGATGAACAGCACACCAGAACACTGCTTTGCTGCTGAGCACAAACCACAGAACAGACTATTTTGGCAACAGAAGTTTCATACAAAGAAAGCTTCTTCTGCAGGTGCTGGGGAAGAGGACGCGGAGCAGCAAGGACGGGGCCGCGTCCCGGCTGCGCAGAGCGGGGCCGGCACGGCCGGCGTTGGGGCAACCTGGCTCCAGGCTCCCGGGCACGGAGGCAGCTCCAGCCCTCGGGAAAGACAGATCAGCTCTCCAGAACGGAGAAGCTGCTGCTCACCCACGTTACAAGCACTGCTGTGACAGGCACCCGTTCGATAGCTTCAAAGCACCAAGCACAGGGTATTCAATTGCCTTCTGGATGTACGCCATGCTTTAGCTTCCTTAGAAAGGAAGAATGCCCGATTTTGTGCTTTAGCAATAGTAACTATCTAGATGGTACTGGCCACAATCCTGGCGCACCCAGAGAAGGCTGGAAGCCCGGGCGGCAGCTCACGCTGCAGAGGGAGCGCAGAGACGGGCAGGACCCCGGCCCCGCGCGCCCTGCTGGCTGCCCGTGCCCGGGGCCGCGCGCGGCCAGCGCGGTTGGCGCTCGCACAGGGATCCGCTCCCCGACCGGCCCCCTCGGAGCAAGCCTTATTGCTTCCTTGCAACCAGCCGCTATAACGTAAAATCCAATATAAGGAACAGGCACAAGAAAACCTCAAGTCTTTTCCATAATTTTATCAGCCCACCATTCACTGTGTTGGGATTAAGAAGACACAAAGAAGCTCTCAACCCACCCAGAGTGAACTTCTGTAGGCACCTACTCAAGAGAATTTACATCTGTATGAGCTGAAAGGCAGAGCAATTTCTCTGAACAGGAAACACCCCCAAAACTGAGTCTCTAATAACAATGCTCAGACAAAAACTCACTAAATTAATTATTAATGAAGATGTCAGTGTTAACTGTACATCTATGCGAGTGTTAAAAGGTGCAATCAGAGCTATAACATTCCAGAAAGGCAGTTGTTTCAACCGCTGCAGTTTCAATTAACGCATTTCTTGGCAGAGTAACCGATTCCCTAATCTTGATGTCGAGATGAGACAACTGTTGGCTTTGATCCTACAAGCGCTTACGTTGGCGTTAACCCTGGCAAAAGGAGCATTCCCGCTTCCTGCGCGGCGGGCACGGCCCACGCGCCACGGACGCACCCCGAGCTCACCGCGGCGAGCCAGGCAAGGCACGACACGCACAACAGCCAGGCACCGAGGGCCCACGACAGCTCCGCAGCGCAGGTTCCCTCCGGGAAAACAAGCAGCCGGTTCCGACCCCGCTAGGAACCCTGGTCAGCAGGTACCTGCCCGCACCCCGCGCCACAGCCTCGCAGCTCCGCCTCGTCCGGACCCTGCTCTCCGTGTATCTGGATGTCTGCTCAAAGCCTCTCCTCCAGGATCTCCCGCGATGGTTACACGGCTGCCAAGCTGCAGACAGGACTGATGTGGCTCTGCCTCTGCAGACCTGCCGGAGATAAACCACTCCAGGAAGGACTACGAAGATGGGACCACAGAAGACAGGGCAGGGGGCTACGCACACTCACGAGCACAACACTGCCCTGCAAAAGGCAGGAACCAGGTTCAGGCCCCTTCTCCCAACCCGGGCTCAATGACAAAGTAACCCTCATGTCCAGAGAGGCCATCCTGGGGGCATGGAGGTCCCCGCCACCAAGGCGGGAGAGCGAAGGGAAACCTCCTTCCCGCCCCAGGAGCCACACAGAGAGGAGCTCTGCGCCTCCCCGGGGCAGAGCCTGCACGGGGAGGACGGCAGGAGGAGCGCGCAGGGGAGGAAGGGCTCAGGCCGGGACAGCTCCCTCCTCCTCGCCCCGTCCGCGGGGCTGCAGGGCTCCCGCGTCCCGCACGTGTTGTGTGTCTGCAGCGGCCGGCGTCCCGGCCAGCGCGGGGTGCGCATGCACCAGGGCGGCTGCTACCAGCGCTTCAAGGAGATTACTAAATGCCTATCTAGTTACTTGACTTTTTCTGGCACAGATTTACCGTTCAAAATTCCTCAGTTCAGATAGAAAACAGCTCCTAACTTCGCATAACTGTAGTTCACCATTCCTCATCTACAACAGTTCCCATAATCTTGGAAAATGTCACCAACATGCACCCAGGGCCAGAAGCACCTTTGGACAACTGAGGGCTGATCTACAACTTGCCCATCCATTAGCGGAGACTTTCAGAGACCCGGCCTATGATGAATGCATACCAAAACACTTACAGCAGCAGCTATTTGAGCTTTCTGTTAGTCGCTGCTTCTGTCGAAGTTATTCTGCCCTTTGAGACTGCTCGCCCTTTCACACGTACCATTACATGTGCTCTCTTCCAACCTCCTACTTAAGGTAGCCCAAGTTTCCGCTCACCTTAAATCAAAGATTTCTTTTTCCGCATTTAGCATCCAGCTGCGGTGCCGAGTAAGGGGAAGGACACACAAATATGTACCTTAACCTGCACAGTACCTACATACGTGGCCAAAGCCAAACGCACTGCTGCTGAACACAGGTCCTGGAAGCAGCACCATAGGGCGAGATAGCCCCATGTAGGACAGCCTTAAATGAACCCACGCCTCATGAAAGCAGATTTCAGTCGACAAAAACATATCCAAAGCCTTTTGAAAAGTGCCTGCTATAAGCACCAAGAATTACATTTCCAATAACAAGCTCCAAAGTGGCCAGCACATACAGAGGCGGGGACAGAAGATCTGCTGCAGCCATTGGTGCAAACTGTGGCTGCCCGGGGGAGAGCGGCTGGAAGAGGAAGGGGCGAGTGGCGGCGGCGGCCCTGCCCGCGCTGAGAGCGGCCTGCGGCCCGGGAGCAGCCCCGCGGGAGCAGCGCGGCCAGAGCAGCCCGCCGGGAGCAGCGCGATGGGAGCAGCCCCGCGGGAGCAGCCCGACGGGAGCAGCGGCGGGAGCAGCCCCGCCGGAGCAACGCGACGCTGGCCACGCAGCCGGCTTCGCTCCGGCCCTGCGCTCCCGCAGACGCCACCTCTGCGGCCTCCCTCCCTCTGCTCCGTCTCGGCAGGCCCTACCTGGACGGAAGTGTTTATTAAAGTAGGCTACACTCCTTTCACTGCACGTGGAGAGACTCACTAACGGAATCACCCTCTGTTTTGAACTGCAGGGCACACGGCTGCCTTACAATTATTACAGCATTCTGACGATGCCTGCACACTCCGCTCGGCGGTGCATCGGGGCCCGCGCGGATGCTCTTGCCTCAGCATCACCTCAGGCACCGTCAGGAAACAAAACATTTCCATGCGAAAGAGCAATTCTGCTCATCTTCCAAGAACCTCTGATTTTTGCTTTGCCACTCTTGACCTTCGCGTAGCGCTCGCACGTGTCCTTACACTGCGGCGTGGGCGACTCCCCCTCTCCACTTCACTGACAGGGTCGCCTCAGTGACCCCTGCAATGAAGAAGTATTAAAGCTGAAATACTCATTACAGTATTTCAAATGGCAAATATTTTATTCTTCCAGTACCCATCCCTGGCTAAATAATAAATAAATAGAAAAAAAAAAATCAAACAAGTTCAAATCCTGTATTGGTCACTGGTTAGAAAAGGTTTAAACTAGATCTCTGCCTGCACATGAGGAAACAGAAGTTAAAAAGGGTCTTGCAGAGACCACATGTGAACCCAACTATCTCTGCCCTACTAGGGAGAGGCTTGAGTAAGAATTAGCTCTGCTCTCATAACACCATTCTGTCATTCTGCAGCCTTCTCCCATTATTATTATTTTTCTATACCAAAGGCCTGTATAATCAAATAACTTGACAAGATTGTGACCCAAGGATGAATGAAGGTCAGTGATAACGATCATGGCTGGTGAAACAAAAAGGTGAAACATGGAACATTTATACATTATGCAGAATTAAGACAATGAGAAAATCGACTTTCCGTAGCTAGAAATAGGATGGTAAACAGACTATGTTGCTTCTGTGCAACTTCATTAATATTGCAGAGCTTATATGACTTTGTTCAATTTCACTTAAATTATCAGCAGAGAACAGTACATATCTGCTAGTATTTTCCTGGAGATTTCAGTTTCCAATCAAAGTAGGCAACATATAAAATATTTTTTCAGAAAACTGTTAAACGTTTCATACTGTAGCACACATTTGAGAAAATCCGTAGCCCCGATTCCGAATGTTGGCATTCTCTCTGTGAAAGTGCAGGACAGAGGAACAGGCGCGGGGACGATGCGCCCCTGCGCCGGCCGCACTCACACTTCCA